ATAATACAATTTCAATATATTAAAAAAATAAAAATAAAAAATAAACAAATAAATAACAAATTTTTTTTTAATTACATGATTTTTTTATGAATAATTAAGTTTCAATATAAATCTTTCAAATTATGTTGTTATTAAATTCAATTAAATTAAAAAATTAAAATTAAATTGGCATATGTTCAATTCCAAAATATATATTGCAAATTAAGAAAAATAAAAGTTATTTCATGATGCCAAAACACACTGATACACACAGATATACATACATACACTCTCATATACACACTCCCATACATACGCATGCACATACTCACACACTCACTCACATACACACACATACACACACACACAAACAAAAAGTATTTGCAGTACATACAAATTTGTTAAAAGTAGATTTTTGACTTTGGTTTTTAGTTTTTGTTTTTGAGAAGCGTGCGTGCGTGCAATGCGGTTAGTTGATTGTTATTGTAGTAGTAGTTGTAGTAGTATTTGTTGTTGTTGTTGTTGGTTGGTTGATTGATTGATTGATTGTTGTTATTACTGTAGTAGTAGTTGTTGTTTTTGTGATTGTTGTAATCGAATTTGTGTGTTGAAAGAGCAAATATACCAAATTAAAGCAGCCAATTCGTTACTTTTTGTTATCGAGCATTTAGGAATTTAGTTAATTGCAGTAGCTGATTATTATTAGTTCTTGCAGTAGTTGAAGCATTTGGGAGTTTTGTTTTTTTTCTTTTAGTTTTTTTTGTAATTTTTTTGAGTGAGTGCAGTTTGAATTTGGAATAGCAGTTTGGCGGTAAATCGGTTTATCGTTTATCGATCTGTTTGATTTCTTGTCCGATTTGATCAAATGAGCTTTGTCAGGCGATTCTGCAGCGTGCAGAGTAGGCTGCTGCCAACGCCGACGTTGACGCCGGCGGCGCTGCGTCCGCTGCCATCTACTGACCTGCTAAACAAAAAGAAATCGCCGGCACCGCCGCTGCTGCTGCCGCTGCCGCTGCTATTGTTGCTGCCAGCTGAGGCATTCGCTGCCGCTGCCGCTGCCGTCGCTGTCGTCGTCGTTGTAGCTGCACCGGCTGCGGCTGCTGTTGCTGTTGCAGCAAGCAGCGCATCCGTCTCGCCGCCATCGTTGGCCATTTCCGATTCACTATTGCGCCGCTCCAGACTGCGGCCGACCTTCTGAAAGCCGTAGCTAAACACATCCTTCACCTTGTCGCCGGCATCGATCAACAGATCCAGACTCTGCCGTCGTCCGCTGCTCTTGAAGCTATTCGAACGCGACAGCCACTGGCTGAGGCTCTGTTTGCGGCTCATCTGTTGGCCGGCCAGGCCGATGCCGATGCCAATGCCGCTGCTATCGTCCTGGAATATCGTCGTGCAGGTCACTTTGCGCTTGGGCTCATCCGACGAGGATGTGGAGTGCTGCGACTGTGCATCCGCATCCAGGCCGCCCAGGCCATAGCCCAAACCGTGGCCGCCCAGGCTGCCGGCGCCATCCAGAGCCTGTTGCTCCAGCAGCGACTGATTCGAATAGCTCGAACTGGTGCTGTCCGAGTGCGAGAGCCGTATTTCCGTCCACTGATCGATGTCGTTGTCCGCCGGCGGGGCCGACGTCGATGCCGATGCCGAAGCCGAGGCCGAGGCCAGCGAGCTGCTGCCCGACTCCGAGCGCGGCTTCACCTCGTACGGCCCGCGCAGACCCTGCGCCTGGGCGAACAGATTATTGTCGCCATCCGTGGCGCTGGTGCTGGCCGACTTGTGCATGCCGCCGGCCAGCTTCTGTGGGAAGGTCAACACCGTCTCGAAGTCGTGCAGCAGATGCGGACAGTCGTGCGGATCGGGGTGCCTCTGGCGCGGCGAACTGGCGCCGCTGCCCAGCCGATCGGGCATGCGTAAGTACTCCTCCTCCGGCTCATCCAGCTGCAGCTGCTCCGACTCTGCCTGGAGCTGCTGCTGCTGCTGTTGCTGCGACTGCTGCTGGGAATCGATGGCATCCACCTGGCGCAGCATTGCCTCGTAGTTAAGCAAATTGTTGCGCTGCTGCCGCTGCCTGTGTATATCCTCGGAGATCTGCTCCAGATTCTTCAGGGCCTCGTTGTAGGTCAACTTGGCGGCGCTGACCTTGGCCTCCAGCTCGTTGACGCGCAGCTTTTGCGCCTTCAGCAGTCCGTTGTAGTTCGCGCGCGTCTCATAGTAGGGCCTGCATTAACGAGCGATTATCAGCTAGATTAGTGGGCGTGGCATTGGCGGCAGGTGAGCAGCGCATACTCACGAGCACTGGATACAATACAAAGCGTGCAAAATGCTAAAGTATCTCAACAAAAGTAAATTGCGCCGCAGCTGCAATCTATGAAGAAGAAGAGGAAGAAACAAGAAGAAACCAAAAGAAGAGAACGAAATAGAACCGAAAGTAGAACCAAAAACTAAAAATACAAAAACAAAAAAAAATCAACCAAGAGATGTTCTGGCAGAGTGGCAACTAAATCGAATTGGAATATGATCATATGGGGATTCAATCTATATATAAGATAGGCTTATTATGTATACATATGTATATATATGTATATAGTAACTACCATAAGTAACAAATTATCTTGAAAAGCTCTTGGATCCAAAATGAGCTCCTGGGTTTGTCCTATGAATACATATATC